TCCATTACAATACTTGTTCTTCCTCTGGAAAGGAATCATATTGTATACAAACAAGAAAATGTCTGTAACACAGGAATCTGCCCTCTCCCTGGTATAGACGGAAGGTGCCCTCTCCCTGGTATAGACAGAATGTGCCCACTCCCTGGTATAGACGGAATGTGCCCACTCCCTGGTATAAACAGAATGTGCCCACTCCCTGGTATAGACAAAATGTGCCCACTTCCAGGTATAGACAGAATGCGCCCTCTCCCTGGTATAGACGGAATGTGCCCTCTCCCTGGTATAGACGGAATGTGCCCACTCCATGGTATAGACGGAATGTGCCCTCTCCCTGGTTTAGACGGAATGTGCCCTCTCCCTGGTATAGACGGAATGTGCCCTCTCCCTGGTATAGACGGAATGTGCCCTCTCCCTGGTATAGACGGAATGTGCCCACTCCCTGGTATAGACGGAATGTGCCCACTCCCTGTTATAGACAAAATGTGCCCACTTCCAGGTATAGACAGAATGCGCCCTCTCCCTGGTATAGACGGAATGTGCCCTCTCCCTGGTATAGACGGAATGTTCCCACACCCTGGTATAGACGGAATGTGCCCTCTCCCTGATTTAGACGGAATGTGCCCTCTCTCTGGTATAGACGGAATGTGCCCTCTCCCTGGTATAGACGGAATGTGCCCTCTCCCTGGTATAGACGGAATGTGCCCTCTCCCTGGTATAGACGGAATGTGCCCACTCCCTGGTATAGACGGAATGTGCCCTCTCCCTGGTATAAACAGAATGTGCCCACTCCCTGGTATAAACAGAATATGCCCTCTCCCTTGTACAAAAAGAATGTGCCCACTCCTTGGTATAAGCAGAATGTGCCCATTCCCTGATATAGGCAGAATGTGCCCACTCCCTGGTAAAGACAGAATGTGCCCACTCCCTGGTATAAACAGAATATGCCCTCTCCCTTGTACAAAAAGAATGTGCCCACTCCTTGGTATAAGCAGAATGTGCCCATTCCCTGGTATAGACAAAATGTGCCCACTCCCTGGTATATACAGAATGTGCCCACTCCCTGGTATAGACAGAATGTGCTCATTCCCTGGTATAAGCAGAATGTGCCCACTCCCTGGTAAAGACAGAACGGCCCACTCCCGGGTATTAACAGAATGTGCCCACTCCCTGGTATAGACAAAATATGCCCACTTCCAGGTATAGACAGAATGCGCCCACTCCCTGGTATAAACAGAATGTGCCCACTCCCTGGTATAGACAAAATGTGCCCACTTCCAGGTATAGACAGAATGCGCCCACTCCCTGGTATAGACAGAATGTGCCCACTCCCTGGTATAAGCATAATGTGCCTACTCCCTGGTATAAGCAGAATTTGCCCACTCCCTGGTATAAGCAGAATTTGCCCACTCCCTGGTATAGACAGAATATGCCCACTCCCTGGGATAAGCAGAATAGATCTACTTTCTACAGAACACACATCTAACAGAAAAGTAGACCTACTTTCTACAGAACACATATCTTACAGAAGAGTAGACCTACTTTCTACAGAACACATATCTTACAGAAGAGTAGACCTACTTTCTACAGAACACACATCTTACAGAAAAGTAGACCTTCTTTCTACAGAACACATATCTTACAGAAAAGTAGATCTACTTTCTACAGAACACATATCTTACAGAAAAGTATATCTGCTTTCTACAGAACACACATATTACAGAAAAGTATATCTGCTTTCTACAGAACACACATCTTACAGAAGAGTAGACCTACTTTCTACAGAACACACATCTAACAGAAAAGTAGATCTACTTTCTACAGAACACACACTATACACAGAAAAGAATGCCTTCTTGACATAGAAAACAGAAAATTATTTGAAAACAGAATTCCTTTGATTCGTCATTTCTATAAGTTTGTGCACGTGTTCCCGCCGATTAACCAATTGTAACGGGTCAACAAGATCACCACATACGGATCCTGGATCACGGGGCGCTAGCCAAGAATGTAATTCAAAGATATCAAAACCATTCAACTACGAACTTTGTAATCTCGCGAGAATAAGATTCTTCTAACAGTCAGCCTCCATTTATCTAGCCACTGTTTGGTATTCAAGACATGAACGCGTCCAAATCAGAAATACACTTTAACACTGAATAGGAATGTTTTTCAACGACAAGAATACATAAGAAAACAGATTTACGTTTTATTGACATTTTTCATATTATTTTTTTCATTCTGTTTTACTTACAGATGCAATCAATTTCGTATACTGGCGTTTAAAAAAATCCTTCATAAACATGAATGCAGCATATTTAATTGTATATGCCAGTTACTCATACAAAGACCATCATGTACTCGTTAATGATATTTCATCATACTTTATGTACGTGGTACCTAACACGTAGGTCATTTACTGTGTACTACATACAGCTGATGGTTTCACCCAAATCTAATTATGCAACTTAGACAAGATATAACAAACATGTATATGTTAGTGTTTCACTGTGCGTGAGGTTTCAATGAAGGCAATGTTACATTGTGGGTGAGGTTTCAATGAAGGCAATGTTACATTGTGGGTGAGGTTTCAGTGAAGGCAATGTTACATTGTGGTTAAGGTTTCAATGAAGGCAATGTTACATTGTGGGTGAGGTTTCAATGAAGGCAATGTTACATTGTGGTTAAGGTTTCAATGAAGGCAATGTTACATTGTGGGTGAGGCTTCAATGAAGGCAACGTTACATTGTGGTTAAGGTTTCAATGAAGGCAATGTTACATTGTGGGTGAGGTTTCAATGAAGGCAATGTTACATTGTGGGTGAGGTTTAGATATAGGTGATGTTGTCATGTTTATCGGCGCGTCACGCTCCAGTGAAATTGATGTTGTAGTTTGTCAATGCATGCAGGTAAAGGCTTATGAAGGCAATGTAGATGTTTTCACCGCCGGTTGTGTGTAGTGATATAGTGTTTTGCAGTTTCAATGTAATGTTTTGATAACTAGAAATTTTCCCCAAACATTGGAAATTGATCCACTGATCTTGACCAGAAATAATGTTTATTTCTCAAATAACTACCAGTTTTCTCAGGAACAACACAATTTACTCCGACAACAGAAGATATAACGTGATAAGGCCCGCCTACAGGGTAAAAAGATAAAAAATAAAAAAGCATTTTACATATACCCTCTATCAACCCTGAGACATTATACCACAAGCTACACTGAATTATTGATATATACTTGACTATTGAGCCGAACGAGGAAATCGTTAACAAGATTACATGACCAGACATAGAGAAACTACATCAATTATGATGAGCTGATACCGTTAGTCGGTAGGGTCCGGGTAGGGTGGAAAAGCGCGGGGTAGGTCGAGAATGGGTGGGGAGGGACGAGGTTGGTCGAGAATGGGTGGGGATGGACGGGGTAGGTCGCGGAAATTATCAGAAAAGTCTGTATTGATATTCTGAAAGTCTCTCAAGTATGTGTGTTAAAATCTATAAAATTTATGAAATGATTTTGGGTCATTGTGGAGATGTGTTATTTGTGGGGGCGCTAGATATGGTCTCGCGTGTTTGCGCTTTATTGATCGAAGAAACAGTGAGTGTTAATGTTTTGCGGTAATGTTATATATCTCCCGTTATACATTGGTGTAAGGTTGGCTGAGCCTCGATAATGTGTAGCGGAGATATTAATGAGAATAATTGAAAACAATCGAGAGCTAATATAATTATCATTCGGAACTCTTTTGAAAAACTGCTACTTACATTATTATTATCAACATCACCAGCTGGTTGCAAATTTATTTTCGTAACCCCTCTACAGTTACATGGCGAAATAACCAGATTCTGCCCATTGTCAACAAGAAATTTCTTAATCGCAACCCCTTTTCAATGACGTTGTTATGGCAATACCAATTGCCAAAATATGTAAATGATAAATGTGTGCTTAACTCTCATTCAGATGCATGGCGAGTCACACGGTGACGTCAGACGACCCTGTGGACAACCAGTCTACGTACACGTGATTACTAATTAATGGTGTCCTACTGTTGGTATATCTCATTTGTTATCAATTAGCTACATGTAACCTCTCCTTACGAAATAATGTCACGACCTTTTTATTTCAAATTGAATATTGTAATATCTAAATGATGAAAGTTTTGGCCAATATAGATACAAATTCTTATATATATATATATATATACATTTATATGTACACTATACTATATATATATATATATACATTTATATATATATACATATATATACATTTATATATACATTTATATGTACACTATACTATATATATATATATATACATTTATATATACATTTATATGTACACTATACTATATATATATATATATATATACATTTATATATACATTTATATGTACACTATACTAATATATATATATATATATATACATTTATATATACATTTATATGTACACTATACTATATATATATATATATATATATATATACATTTATATATACATTTATATGTATATATATATATATATATATATATATATACATTTATATATATATATACTATATATATATATATATATATATATATATATATATACATTTATATATACATTTATATGTACACTATACTAGTATATATACATATACAGACAGTGAATCAATACAAGAGAAAACAAATATATATTTTATCTACAATATTCACGAACGAGTCAGTAGTAGATGTTATCCATCAGATGTCGACATCTAACGACAGAAAAAAAGTTTTGTTGCCCAGAGGACACAGCTGTCGCTAATGTATTCCTAAGAACCAACTTATCAGTCAAAGTAAACGAACTGGTGTTGTTGTGTTTGAACTAACACAGACATTAAAGCTATTTATACAGTAAAACGACAAAGCTTCTTATCTAAAACGGCTTATTCCTTCCTAGTCAACATGCATGATGACTAGATACACAATGGGAAGCCTGGAAACAGATGGCGAGATATCAATATCGAGGAACATACCTGGTTATGACGGTGACATGAGAAAACTCCAGAGTAGTTACAGTAATGGTAAACCCCAGGCTGTGATGGCAGATGGATGAGTACGTGTATACGGTAGCTACAACACAGACACACTGATACGTACGAAACACAAGTGCGCGTGCAGCAAACCCGAACGTTCATTCATAAAAAACCACAACGCGTGTCACATGGGTACACACGAATCTTATAATCCAGTAATTAGCTATTGTACGCACTGGAATATGCCTATCTATTGTACATATGTGTATGACTTAGGTATAGTGAAAACAGGCACCAGTTAGACTCCGAGTCAGTTACAGTTGAAAACAGCTTTTGTGTAATTCGAACATAAGAGTCTCATCAGGCAGAATGAATAACCCTTTTCTCTGCTCTATATTCCCGACACGCTTTCTGGTCCTGCCGTTGTATAGTATGGTGCTGTATCTCTCCAGTTTGTAGGTCCGGAACAGTCCATATAACCAGCAGTGTCAGACCTGGTATGATATGTTTAGATTTCTGTATACATGACATACAAGTATGTCAAAGAGCATTGATCGAAACATCAGGTCTTTTATCGACGTACGCGTGAGATTCCAGGAGCCAGGCAGCACCACTGCACGTGCTATGTAGAACCAATACTTGAATAATTAGATTGTATGTTGTCCGTTGGGGTCACGTATGCCGAACTTGTATTACACGTGTTAGCGAGTTTTTCCCCTGGGGCCCGGGACGTTATTCTGGAATATACTGTTTACTTAAATACAACACGGTATACTCGACCTTACAATCATACGCATTTTCCCTCACAGGCACAGTGATTCTCGTTATCTTCCGGTTTCAATGATTCTTTATTCCAGTTTTCTATAGTCTTAAGATTGCCTTGATATAAACCATCGAAAACCTGTTTTAATTCCGTTGTTCTGTTAAATTTCGCTTCGTTTGGACTTAATATGAAGACGGTGTCCACGGATAAAGAAGTCATTCAAGGACACCTGTATAGTGCCATCACACTGAAATATCATAACGTGATCGCGGTAGCATGACACTCACATTGTAATGACTACACGCACACTTGTATAGTACATCACACTGAAATATCATCACCTTGCCACGAAAGTATTGCCAATCCGTTCACATTATAATGACTACACGAATCTTTTATAGTACATTCTCACTGAAATATCATAACCAGGCCACGGTAGCCTGGCCAACCCGTTCATATTATCATGACTACGCGAACCTGTTTTATAGTGTCGTCACACTGAATTTATGGACGAATATTATTCAAATCCATTGAGAGACGTAAAAGAAACGGGCGAAGATGTTGGTTTGTTGGCATTGCACTGGTCTTATTTGCCAGTGCAAAGTATGTGTGATTCAGATTGATGCTGATTAATCGAACATTTTTACTTTGTGTCATGAGGATGAAAGTATATTTATCTCAACATTTATACATCCCAAGTCTATTCATACAATGTATAAAAATAAGAAGATTTTACAGAAAACAAACAGGAGTGAACAGCATCTTTTATCAGAAAGAGTTTGAAACAGTAGAGCCAAAAGAGCGCCATACAGCTGTTTCATCCTCCTAGAATTATCAGTGATGTTACATTATACAGCTGTTTCGTCCTCCTAGGACTCATCAGTGATGTTACATCACACAGATGTTTTGTCCTCCTAGGACTCATCAGTGATGTAACATCACACAGATGTTTTGTCCTCCTAGGACTCATCAGTGATGCTACATCATACAGCTGTTTCGTCCTTCTGAAACTCGTCAGTGATGTTACGTTATACAGCTGTTTTTTCCTCCTAGGACTCATCAGTGATGTTACATCATACAGCTGTTTCGTCCTTTTAGGACAGTGATGTTCATACAGTTGTCCCTTCTAGGACTCGTCAGTGATGTTACATTATACAGCTGTTTCAGTGATGTAACATCACACAGATGTTTTGTCCTCCTAGGACTCATCAGTGATGCTACATCATACAGCTGTTTCGTCCTTCTGAAACTCGTCAGTGATGTTACGTTATACAGCTGTTTTTTCCTCCTAGGACTCATCAGTGATGTTACATCATACAGCTGTTTCGTCCTTCTAGGACTTCAACAGTGATGTTACATTATACAGCTGTTTTGTCCTCCTAGGACTCGTCAGTGATGTTACATTATACAGCTGTTTCGTCCTCCTAGGACTCGTCAGTGATGTTACATTATTCAGATGTTTCGCCTTCTAAGGACACGTCAATGATGCTTAGGACCTGAACGATCTTCATGTAAAATGTAAAATTTTGTTCATATTTGACAAGTAATCTAAAACGAAAAAAAGAGGGGGAATTGTTTGTTCTTCATTTGTTTTTAACATTTCAAATTTCATTCGTGTTTAGATTGCGTTTCGTTTAACTCGAAAATATCATTGTAGATGAACCCGCTGAATCCCTTATTGTCCTCCATTTTTATTTGTTGTAGAGATGGTGATACCACACTCTGCTACTCTTCTCAATACTGTTTTATGAATGAAACAATTAATCTCACAGTGTCTGTATGAAATGTATTTCCAGCTCTTCTCATCCGTGCTGCCCATTTCCGAGACTAGCAAACCGCCATTTTCAATAATTGCCTCCATTCCTTGGATAATGATTTCTGAATCACCAGTAGCAGCCAGCAAGTGTTATCGGCAGAAACAAAATTGTTTTCTTCTCATCCCGTCATAACGAGGAAATAGTATTTATAAACAGTGAACTTCTTTGATAATGAATATCTTCAATTTTCAGGCCTGATTTTTTTTCTTGGAATTGAACTAATACGATGTTATAGACATACATTTTCATTATCTGTCGTAAATTTTGTTATCGAACTGAAATACGCAGCTTTCGTCTTTACGACGTTGTCTTTACGACGTTGACGTTGGCCACTGGTCAATACAAAGGACAATAATGCGGACAATGTGGACAAACTGGAAAATGTGGACAAACTGGACAATGTGGACAGACTGTACAATGTGGACAAACTGGACAATGTGGACAGACTGGACAATGTGGACAAACTGGACAATGTGGACAGACTGGACAATGTGGACAAACTGGACAATGTGGACAAACTGGACAATGTGGACAGACTGGACAATGTAGACAGACTAGACAATGTGGACAAACTGGACAATGTGAACAAACTGGACAATGTGGACAGACTGGACAATGTGGACAAACTGGACAATGTGGACGGCAATAACTGGATGAAATGGACATTAACCTGTATCAGCGAGACAAAGTGACAAAGAAAACTTCCCGTTGGCAATGTCTAATTAATCAGCCGAGCAAATTATTTTAATACGGTCATGTATGCGCTTATTTTTTAATAAAAACAACTAACCTTTCATTACTACATGCCTGGCCGTAAATGGTCATATGTAGCTCATGTAAAATGGCCTATAAGATTCACTAGTTCATTCTTATTGTATTCCTTTTAATTACTTTCAAACATTTATTCGTGTCACAGAAAGTTATCTACACAGCGAGAGCCTCGTTGTAATTATATATTTGTAGATTGTTTCCAACAGTAAAAGCTTAACAAGATATCCGTCGTTTTTTTGTGAAACCTCTATTAAATGTCCCTCGATAAGAGTCAAAATTCGATACAATGTCCCTTCTGTATAGAAAACCCTCGATATAACGTTCCTCATTTATAGTAAATAGTTTGATATAATGTCCTTCATTTTCAGGAAAACCTCGATTCAAGTTTAGAGAAAATACTTTGATATAACGTCAATTGTTTCTACAAAAACCTCCAGGTAATGTCCCATCTTTATGATAAAAACGGGTTTGAATCAATGTCCCTCGTTTATAGTATAACCCAACTTGAATCAATGTCCCTTGTTTATAGTATAACCCGACTTGAATCAATGTCCCTCGTTTAAAGAACCCGACTTGAATCAATGTCCCTTGTTTATAGAAGAACCCGACTTGAATCAATGTCCCTTGTTTATAGAAGAACCCGACTTGAATCAATGTCCCTTGTTTATAGAAGAACCCGACTTGAATCAATGTCTCTTGTTTATAGTATAACCTGACGAATCAATGTCCCTCGTTTAAAGAACCCGACTTGAATCAATGTCCCTTGTTTATAGAAGAACCCGACTTGAATCAATGTCCCTTGTTTATAGAAGAACCCGACTTGAATCAATGTCCCTTGTTTATAGAAGAAACCGACTTGAATCAATGTCCCTTGTTTATAGTATAACCCGACTTGAATCAATGTCTCTTGTTTATAGTATAGCCCGACTTGAATCAATGTCCCTTGTTTATAGAAGAACCCGACTTGAATCAATGTCCCTTGTTTATAGAAGAACCCGACTTGAATCAATGTCCCTTGTTTATAGAAGAACCCGACTTGAATCAATGTCCCTTGTTTATAGAAGAACCCGACTTGAATCAATGTCCCTTGTTTATAGAAGAACCCGACTTGAATCAATGTCCCTCGTTTAAAGAAGAACCCGACTTGAATCAATGTCCCTCGTTTAAAGAAGAACCCGACTTGAATCAATGTCCCTCGTTTAAAGAAGAACCCGACTTGAATCAATGTCCCTCGTTTATAGTATAACCCGACTTGAATCAATGTCCCTCGTTTAAAGAAGAACCCGACTTGAAACAATATCCCTCATTAACAGTAAAACCCGACTGATTCTGATGTCCTTCGTTTTAAGTGAATCATGGTTTTAATCAATGTCACTTGTTTATAGCAAAATGGTATCGCTTAAAGTGATATCGGATTTAGATCACTGTCCTCTTATAACGCGTAGCAATTTGTTCGACAAACTCCTATTGTGCGGTACCATTATTTAATAAGTGACTTGTGTACCTTCTCGTGGCATTTCTACCCTTCATAAATTACAATATTTCATTTTTGTGAATGTCAGAAGTTCTTTTTAAGGAAAACAAAATACCAGAATACACGCTATCCGGGAGTACGTTTTCCTCTGTAATTCTGTAACTTTTCAGACACTTCGTAACCCCTCAACCCCTCGGGATTAACCTCTTTTGTTTAACTCGTCTGTTCGTGGTCTCTCTGGTGTTCAGACTCCCGTTACCATATTGATTCGTTGTACGGAGATAAGAAAGACCAACAGTTTCGATCTGATTAGCCATGGGACGGTAGCCATGCATACAATATCATCCACGCCCCACGAGATCTCGTAATCCCACAGAAAGAAGTCTTATGGCTATCTGGAAACGAGACCTCCATATATATTACGGAATGGCCTGGAACTTCTCACCTGCATAATTAATTGAACTAACAGGAAACGACCTTTCCTGACGAGTTTCAGAGAGTTTTATTGATGTTTTAGCACGAACACTGGTATATATATATACTTTAACCTGACACAACAAGACAATAGATGAATTGGCAAGCATTCAGGGCAACAACAAAATGGCAGGTGTTTAGACAACTTTACCAGAGACCTGCAGATGACCAGTTGACTAAAATCCACGGAATGACAAATGTTAAA